TGATGACTAGCTGCTTTCCCTCTAGTCTTGCACTGATAAATTAGAGACGGCTAGTGCAGATAGCCCTCGTGTAGCTTTGCCCAAAATTAAAACAAACACACTTTTGTAATGACTTGAAATACATGTTTTTAAAAAGGTGTTGATAAAATATTGAAAGAATAATTTAGTTTCATTTATTTCAAAAATAAGTTGATATAAATACAAATGTAGAACAAAATAATGTTTAAATCCAAATATGTAATATGATAGGTAGATCAAACAGATTTTGGGGGGGGGGGGAACTTGTAAGAAATCAACTGACAAGTGTCTTAAAAAATAGTAATCACAGTAGTTTTGTTTAATTCTGTATATGATGAAGCTTGAAACATTCTTACTGGTGAATTATATATTTTGTGTAAAGACCATACTTACAAACCCACTGTTATAATTCATTACATATCTTGCAATTATGAAGTAATAAGCCTAATGCCAGGTCTATACTTTATAAAATTAAATACTTAATAACTGCCTTATGCAACAAACACCTAATAATCATTACATTATTGAATTAAAAATACATTTATTAATCAGTAAACTGATATCAATGCATGAAAAATGTTTAATTTGCAAAGTGTTCAAGCTTTTACTAAAAAAAAACAGTAAATGTATAAGTGTTTTCATAAAGTGTCATAAAAAGTTCCACCTGGTAATATTGGTTAGAATATCTAATATCTCTATACTTTTATTTATGTTTTATTACTTTAATTTTACTTTTTAATGTAATGATTACACAGGCCTGCGATGGTTTTATTGTCTTGAAATGTTTACAGTAATTCCTGTATGCTAAATCCAAAAATGAAAGCCATTTTTCTCCATCATGTACAGATTTTTCACAAACGTCATATGTACTTTTACATAAGTGAATCACTTTCACTGAAACTGAGTTACGTTTTATTATGCTTCAAATGTTGATAACCACTAGCTATAGATTTCTCTAGACCAATAGCGACATGAGAGTCTTATCAATTGTTCTAGAACCCACGAGAAACACACTGCTCGCATATAAATGGTTAACAGGCTGCATGACGTGTCATTTATGGATAGTAATTGTAAGAAATCCTTACGTGATAGAAAAAGGTGAATGTTATTTTTGAAATATGCATAGCTGAATTATGGGATATTTGTTACTAAAACCAAAACAACTTTTATGAAGTTTAAATTCACAGATCTTTGTTATTATACATGGTACTAATTTTAATTTTGTTTTTTTATCATAAAAATTATTTCACATTGTTAGTTTATTTTATAGAGTTAAGAATAATCTAAATATACTAAGCCTTTTGAGCCAAGTGAAACTTGGACCACATTGAAGATGTACAGTGAGCATTAGAATATTTAATAGATTTATTTTTTTTTATATTTTGTTATTTCTGACTTGATGTTGTATTTATTATTTTATCATAGTGATTATGCTGCATTGTTAGCTTCGTACATAGATTTAGGACTAATGTAAGTCCTCTTGTGAGATATTATTGGATTTATGATCAAAAGTGTCATTAACAGTGAGGGTACCTAACTGATGAAACAATGCTTTCTAATCATTACAAGTAATATAGTTAAAATGTTATATTTAATTAGTTATATTCATTATTAGGTTTATATTTTTACCTGTGATCTATGGAGGTAGCTTGCTTTGATAAGTAATTATTAGTAAATAATTTATTTTATTTTAATATATTTTTTATTTTTAAAATATATGGATTACTTGAACAAATTAATTATGTTCTTCTTTACAAAAATTTAATATTTGTAGCACCCACTAGAAGAATGGTAATATTTTATGCATGTAAGTTTTGATTAAATTAAAACATTTCCTTCCTTGACTTGTTATAGTGAGCAGGTGAACCTTCAGACTTTTGGATTAATTCGTTAATTATTTTCTTTTATTAACTTGAAGCTTACTTTTATTATGGAGAGATAGTTATAAGAGAGAGAAAGAAGTGTTAGAAAAATAAAAATATTCTACAAATTTTTGATGTTTTTTCTATTCTTCAAAGCCAAAAGTAGTGTGGTTGTGCTGATTAATTAAAAAGATCATAAAACAAATGATATTTAAAAATGTTATTTCTAGAAAGAACGTGTGATAACTTTTTAATGGACTTCAAAAACTATCAAAAGTATAAGAACTTTTGGTAAAAAAAAGTTTTGTACAAAGAAACAAACATAAGAGAAACTATTCTTATGTAATGAAGTTACTTGTGATAATTTTCTTCTTCTTCAAACTAGTGTTCTCTAATAGTACTTACATTTTCTAAGACATAGTAGTATTATGTTATTATTTCAGAAAGCTATAACTTTTTTTTTAAACAATTTCTGTCACAGTTTACTTGTAGAGGAGTAAATTACTTTATAAATAATTTGAATCATCAGTTGTAGAAGCTGTAAAACTGGAAAGGTATGTGTAAAAACGTTTACAGGCTGTTAAGTGGTAGGAAAAAAATTAACTTCTAAGTATGACTTAAATGAAATTAATTTATTTTAGAGTCAGGAAATTATGTTAAGTTTCTGACACAGGATAAAGTGGTGTTTTCACATATTGTTTACAAACTTCTTATTAATTTGGTACATATCTAGAGCATTCTCTGGTTATTTTAAGAGTAGGAGACAACCCTTAATATCATATCCTGGATGGTGTTTGACTTAGAAAATTACAACACAGGTTAAAATTAGTGTGATGGAAAAATCACCCTTAAACAGAACAGATTTTACCTACATTTTTTTTTGTAGGTTCGAGGAGATCCAGATGGCTGTGGTCTCGATTCTTTCTCTGTTTTTCACCATAGTTCTTGCACAGAATTGATGTCTGAGGTAAAGTTTTGATTTTGAAAGTGTATTTTGTATTAGAAAAATTAGGTTTCCAGTTAGCTGTAGTTTCTTTTGTATTTAGAATACACTAGCATAGATATCCATGCTATGTATAGCATTTCCTTTTTTCACATCATGGTGATGAAAGAATAATGTGCATAATCCCCCAAAAGGAAGCTAGAAGGAGAATTTAATTGGTTGCCAAACTCATAAAAATCAGAGAATAAGGAAAAGGTTTTAGAACATTTCCAAGAACTCCTGAAGTTCAAGAATTTTTATTACAGACAGATTGATAGAAGCCACTGTGGTAGAAATGATTATTATTATTAGGTTCCCTAAAGATAGATAGCTTCATTGGAATAAGGACTCGTCACTCAAAAATAATCACCCAGTTCAAAGTATTACAAAATCTGAAGTAATTTTTCAATACACACTTAAAACAATCTGTGGGTTTTGAGTTTGAATCCAATCACCAAACATGTTCATCCTTTCATGGAAAGCAGCACTATAAATTGATGGCCAATTCCACTATTTGATTAGAGTGGCCCAAGAGTTGAAAGTGGGTAGTGTTGACTAGCTGCCTTTCCTTTAGTCTATCACTTCTAAATTTGGGACAACTAACACAGGTAGCCCTTGAGGAGCTGTACACAAAATTCAACCAACAAATACTTAAAACAAGTTATTTTATATTTATAACTAACGCCACCTACATTAAAGTAAGTAAAACTGTTGATAATGTGTTTTTTATTTGTGATTTGTTTGCCTTTATATGATTAAATTATTATTAAAACAGTACTTTGTCTTTTAGTTTTACAATGTTTATACTTCATATAAAATATAATTAAAGGTTACGTATTTGCTTCATTGTTGTATTGATAAACAAAAGTCATTTTTGGATTAGTTTTATAGCATTATTATAAGTTTTGATTACCTTAACCTTCCCAGGGTTATTTGCAACTAACAAAATGTAGCAGACAGTAGTTACTTTGTAATTATTATTATTTTTCAAATCATTAGGAACTTGTCATATTAGAACTTTTGCATAGTTTCAGAATAATGGAGTAACTTTTTCTCCTATGTCTCCCTATTTAATGTAAAGAAACAAACAGTTTATGGTTAATATATTTAGTTGAATTTGTGCTTCTGGTGTCTGACATCTGTGGTCACTTTTATGATGTTTCAACATTAACTTTTTTTATCTTCAACTTGCCATATTATAAAATATGAAAATTGTACTTTGTTTAACAAATCAGCACATTCAGTAAACTTTAAATAACTGATTAGTTGATTGAAAATTTAGTTAAATAACTAGACATTTAATCTCCTAAGAGAAACTACATGTTTTGAAAGTAAATAAGAAATGTATTTACAAATTTAACACTTTATATTCAGGGAACACCCCTCAAGAAGGGCTGGTTGATGCGACAGGGTACAAAGGATTGGCACAAACACTGGGTTGTGTTAACTGTTTGTTCCCTGACTTTCTATCAAGATCCAAGAGCAGAGATATCAAACATTGTAGATGGCAAGATAGATGTTCTTTCAGTCAAGTCTGTTGGTGAAACGAAGACTGAAAATAGCTATGGCTTTACTATAGAAGTTAGTTATATTCAGTTGTATTTCAACTAACAATATTACCAATAGGTATCTGATGTAATGAATATCTTTGATTTTTTTATACTTTGAATCTCACATTTCAAATTTCTTAGTGTTATACAATTTTTTATTTAAGTTTTGTTTTTAATCTTGACTATCTAAAAATGTCATAAAACCTTAAACCTAAGTCTACTACACAAGTTTAACTAAGTTTCATATTGGAACATTTAAGGTTAAAATAAAAAATATAAGAGCTTTGTCTTAAATGAAAAATAATGAATATGAATGCATCACACAAAGGACCAACAAATAAACTGTAGTAAGAGAGAGAGAGAGATCTGCAGAAGTAAGATCCGTACAATGGAAGAGATACATCATTATCAGATGTAACCTCCAATCGCAAGTCTTACATTTAAGAAAAACAACAACAATAAGATGAGATCTGGACGCTCAAGCCAGTAATGTTCCACGTGTAGAACTACAGTAAAGTAATTTGATAGCCATTGTTTTGTGTAATTCACTGAAACCATTAATAAATCTGTCAGTAGTAAATATTTTACCTGTATGTGTTAGACTTGAATATTCCCAGTTAAAAAGACAGGTAAAAACTCCCTCCAATTTATACCTAGTTTGAAAATTTGAAATAGGCTTGTGTGAACAGATAATTTTCATGTTAAACTGTTTAGGAAATAAAAGAAGTATAAAGCAAATATAGACAATAAAGTTGCCAGATTTAACTATTTACCCCTTTCGTGGCTAGGGCATTTTTGTTTCTTTGTCATTTTGTATATTAATGTATACATAGAAAGTTTCTCTGTTATACTGCACATGTATTGAAATATACATACACACACATACCTATATATCTGGAATATTGAATTTCTATAACATTGAAGACATTGTTGTTTCAGACTTTGGACAGTAAGAGGTATACGTTTTCTGCAGTTACAGCAGGAGTGTGTAATAATTGGATTCAAGCTCTTCATCATGCCACCAAAGTTTGTACCTTCTCGTCTCACTCGGGCAGGATTGGAAGAACAAGGTCACAAGAACGCGTCCCCACTATGAGACAAGATTTGCAATTATCACTTAACATGTCATCAACCAGTGATGATCAATCAGTGTTGGAGGATCCTATTCTGACTGAGCGCTTCCCTTCATCAGTTCGTACTCTTCCTTCCTCACCACCTTTAAACCGCACGGTAATCTCTAAGGTCAAAGAAAAATCCAGGTCACGATCTTCTTCTCGATCAAGACTTTTTGATAAATATGGAAAGTTACTAACTTCTGGTAGTGATGACCATAGCTCACCTGTGAGTGTAAATGACTGTCACACTAAAAAGGTTAACAAAATTTCTACCTCGAGAGATTCTGATTTTGAATATCCATATTGGAGAAAACTAAATTCAGTCAAAGTGAGTTAAAATATGTTGATTTCTCTCTGTAGTTTTATATTTATAATCATATGGGATAAAAACATTTTGTTGTAGCCTGTTTAAGTAACCCGTTTTAATGGTTTTATAAGTCTTGTAGTAGTATATGAGAATAAATGTGTTGTGATCTTAGCAGTTATACTAGTGGTATCAGAATTAATGTTCTCAACCTAAAAAAAATGATTTAAATTACTTAACTGATGTAGTCAGGTAATTTTATAGAATTAGTGAACATGTGGTTCATGTATTATGTTGATGGTACTAATTTTAATTTCTTAGCCGTTATGCTTATATTCTCTTGAATTATAATATAGTAATCCATTTTTATAACGTATTAGAAGATAATCAAACAGTGCATTTTGTTTTTGGCAGTAAAATGTGTATGACAAAACTTTGCATTATAAGTTTTATTTTTCTTTGTTTTAAGCAAGATAAGTATTTTAGTTTGCAATTAAATTAATTTCTGTTTTTGGTATCTGAAAAATAGGATTACAAAAATTCTGTTTCCAACCTGAAAAGAACCAATGACTCTACTGAAATAAAGGCTACTCAGGTACCAGTATCACTAGTTGGAGAAGCTAAACATATGAACATACATTCTTCACCTCAAGGATTACAGAATGGCTATAATCTAATTGAAATCAACCCAGATTCATGTGGGCAATTGAAACATACTATAAATGTGGATACAGGTCCTATGAGCTTCGAAGAAAGGTCACAGAAAAAACATTTGAAAGATGAGTGGGAAAATGGTAGAGTAAGTCAAAATATTTGCATGTTAGAAAGGAATGGAAAAGGTGTTGAAGAAGAAACAGGTAAAAAATTTCCTAAAGGAAAACTTATTGTTATTGAAGACCTTCAGACATCTCTTCATTTGTGTCGAGATAGATTATTTGATCTGAAGCAGAGATTGGAAAATACACCAGAAGTTAAGGAAGAAGCACTCTTAATTGGCAAAGATATATTAATGCTGTGTGGAGAAATTGAGAAGATTTTAGGACTGAGTGACCAGAAATTAGGTAATGAAAATGAAATTTCTAGGTTAAAAGATGTAATTACTGAACTCCAAGTCGTTTGTGAAGCAAAGAATGTTGAAGTAGAAAAACTTACTAATAAAATTATAACTTTAAAATCCAGCTTAAATGATCAAGAACAAGGTTTTCAAAAATTTCGTACAGAAGTTGACTTCTTACAGAAAGATAAAATGTCCTTAAAAGATCGTGTGAAGCAGTTAGAAATGGTCTTGAGAACTTCAGATTCTGATCATTACCACAACGATTGTTGTAAAGCTTTATCTGAAGAGAATACCCAGTTGAAACTTCTTTTAGATAATGCCAATGAAACTATTAAAAGTCGCCAGGAAAAGTTACAGAAAGATTATGAAAGTTATGATAACTTGGAAATGATTAACTCTCAGCTAGAACAAAGTATCAATGAATTCCAGTCACAACATTGTTCTCGAATAGCCCTAATGATAACCAAAGTTAATGATTTGACACTGAAATTGGCAGCTGCGGAAAAAAGCTTGGGTTATGTGAAGGAGAAACTTGCACAAGCTGAACCGAGACAAGAAAATCAAAGAAGCTCACTCCAAGAATATAAAGGAGTAACTAAAGAATTTGAAACAAAACTCAAAGATTTAGAGTCTAAAATAAATTACATTGAAGCATGCCTAAATAATAAATTTGAGGATGATATTCATATTAAAAATATTATGACAAAAGATTCTAACACAGCTGTTGAGAGTCAGGGTAATCACCTACAAAACGTTCTTGTAAGACTTAACAGTTTGAACTCAAGAGTTAAGACTGCATGTGAAATAGTCGGTACTAACCAGGAAGTAGGAAGAATAAGAGAAGTTTCTACAAAACCAGAGATTTGGTTACGTAGAAGCTCTGAGGCAGAAGCTAGTCAGGAAGATTGGAGCACCTTTTCAGTTGTTGACAGTTTACCCGATTTATTTTCAGCATCTACAGAAGATGGCATGGACAGCACACCTATGTCCCTTTCATCTTGCACTGAAATGTTGGTTCAAAAAGTCAAAATGGTGGCAGCATGGATTAAGGAAACTCTTGTAATTTTACACAAACAGCATTACTTAAATGAGGCAAGCTCTGAAACTTCAAATTACTGTGTTGATGAGATAGGATATTTGGTAAAAGCCTGTCAGTGCCTACTTCCTGAAGACAGACAATCAGACAAAAATCCAGAAGCAAGTTTAGTGTACCTTCTCCTTGCCCTTCAAGAAATAGCCATAGCAGTTATAAAATTAAATGAACTTGAATCTTTGCAAAAACAAATAGTCATGAAAGAAGTGTGTATGATAAACAAGCTTGTTACTTTAGTTGAAAGCAAAATAAACACTAGTTCAATTGGCAAAGCTGATAGCTACAATGATGTTGATACTCCATTTCTTTCTTCCTTTACCTCATTATTACCTACTTGTACGATGTCCATCTGTGACACTTTGAGTGCTCCAGAAGATGATTATTTTCAAAACAAAGATATTGTTGATGATGACTTGAGAAATAAACTCTGTGAGCTGCAAGAACATTGGATTAAAGTCAGAAAGTTAATGGATACTGTAAAACGTAATAGTATTGCAATCCTAGTCAGACTTCTTCAGAATGATGAACTTCAAAGATCAAATCAAGAAAGCTTGCAAGGTGACTTAATAAGTGAAAACATTATTTCAGAAGAACTGCTACTTGGTGAGATCTATCAAGTTATTCTTTGTCAAAGTAAAATGTCTCAAAAACAAGTTTTTTCAAAGTTCCAGGAACATTGTGTAACAGCTTTGTATTCCGAATCAACATCTCTTGAAATATGGAATATTGTTACTCAGAACCAGATGGCTGAAGAAATGGAGAAGCTCTTTGCTCAGATAAAAAATAGTTGTGTAAAAAATGTTTCTTTTCATGTTAATCAAGAAATTTCAGAAAGCAAACATCTTAGTCAACAATCTATGTTGTGCCTAATAGGATTAACAGACATGTGTATCTTTATTGGCCTACTCCAAGGTGCTACTATCTACTGTGCAAAGAGAGTAGATAACATAACACTTAAGGAGGGTGCTGAATCAGACTATAAAAAATGCATTCAACTAGAGAATAGCGCCTGGCCAGAAAGTCTATACAGTCATCTACAACAGCAAGCAGCCAAGATGCTTACTGGTTCTTGTCCCCTTTCACCTCCTAGAGGAAAAGCCCATTCCAGTTTCACTCACTTAGATGATCCTCTTCAGATTATTGAGAAGTTGTCCAAGTTCAGTGCACATAATTTTGCCAAGATAAATGAAAGGTACATAGAGAAAATAACTGAGATGAAATTGCGTTACCAAGAAGAAGTAAACAGGACACGGTCAGAACTCGAGGCCCTGAAACAAAAACAGTCACAGTGGTTACACGGGGGCTGCCCATCTTGCGAGGTATTAAGGAAAGGAGTAAACTGTCTGTGTTTTGAGGTTGAACGTTGTCGAGAGTTAACAAGCCAGGGCACATTGTGTCAAACCTGCAAGAAGCTGTCCAGCGAACTAGAAGAAGCTAAACAAGCTCACAAGAAGGAATTGGAATCTCTTCAGGGTCAGCTGCTTACTGAGAAAGAAAATTTGAGGGAACAATTAACAGCCACTTTCAATGATCAGGTAATTCAACAGTGTTTGTAGGTATTTGGGTACTAAATTTGTTCAAAAGATAACTATTAGTAGTACTTAATAATACCTGGGACTTCTAGCCAAGTGTTTTACAATGTAACTACAGTGGAACTCCATTTATCTGCATGCCTAGAGAACGAGGGTTTGCAGATATGTGAAATTCACAGATAAATGAGTTGTCATTATGTGTGACCAGAATGCATCAATCATATACATAAAACAGTAATGTAAACCCAAACAGTATTGAAGATGTCTGCAGTATTTGTAAAGACAGGAAAAATGCTTTAAAATTGGTTGCCTTTTACATTACTCCATTTTCTTACACTTAACTTGTGTACCTACAAAAAACACCTGACACTTTTTTTAATAAAAGTAATTTTTAAAACAGCTTTTTCTGTAAACATGCTGTTTAAGTTGGTGCTTGTAGACAAAGTGGTGTCATACGTTCTAGAATGAAACATGTATGTTTGATTGTATGTATGGTCTACATGTGCATTATATCTGCACTGCCAATACAACAGTGCTGAAACATGGGGCATCACAGATAATTGAAGTCCAGGTAAAAGAGCACAGGTAAATAAGGTTCTACGGTAATAATGAATCTCAAATATCCAAGATGTTTAGTTGTTTTTCAGAGTAGGAAATGATAATTTTAAATAATACCCAAGATTTTTGATTTGCTAAAATATCTTTCATTGTAATATTAACTTCTGATCACAACAAGTTACCTACATAGATCAAGATAACCGTGTTCACTATAATTTACTTACACTTCTTTTGTTTTAGATTTTTTTTTCCTTAAGCAAATTTGGGATCACACTTATCACGTATGTTGAATAACTATAATTAAATCAAATACTAGTTGAAGTGTGTTTTAAGTTCTTCAGTCAAAAAATTTTTGTGTGATTCAAGATACCCTTCAATAAAAAAAACCTATGTTGGATAATGTAGTCCTTTCTGTTAAATGATTTATAATCAGACTTTGGGGAATGCAATGATGCATATATTTATATATATATATATATATAAGCAAGGGGGAAACAATATTGTGTGTTATTTATGTATTATTTTAACATTATATACAAGCGCCAAGTAAATAATATCAAGTATTTTTCTTATTCTAGCCTACATACAATCCTTATTACCTTGATAAATGCTCATAAGATGTCTTACTACTGAACTGAAATTCTAGACTCTGTATATTGTAATACACTCAGTCAAAACATGTGCCCATTGTTCACTATTATGTGGATGGATCTAGGCAGAATTATTATAATATTCTTTATTCCAAGCATAGCCTTGGACGTTATCTATTAGAAATACTCTTTCTTAAGGATATGTTTACTGTATTATTTGTACAAAACTTTGTGTTTTTGGGACATACCGAAGGTTAAAATCTATTAAAACTTAAAAGTTCAAGGCTGGGTCAAATCTTTCATTGGCAGGTGTTGACACTAAAGAGGACTGACTGAAATTGAAAGGTTTGGTCCATATTTAAACTTCTGAGACTTCATATATTTTATCTTCCATGTCCTACACAGTATTCCACATTTTAAGCAAATTTTGGATTATACTCTTCTTTGTGGAGATTGAGATAATGAAACAAAAAGATTTTGATTAGCAAAATGTAAACAGAAATCTAAGCAAAATATCTTTTCAATCTTCATTTTCACTTTTGTCACTTTTATAGGGGACAGTTTAATTTGTTTCTTTTGAAGTTTCATTATTTGGTAATGAGAGGTTTGTTGTTTCATTGCATTTTTATTTCTCTCAGATATATCTAGTTTATTGTTTTTAATAAATTATTAACAATTACAGTTGTTTGGTGTTGAGTTGTTTTCTTCACTTAAACAAAATTTAATATTATTTTTCTAACCATTATTAATATTTATTTTAAAGGTTAAAGCATATCAAGAAGAAGGTGATAGATTACATAAAGAACTGCAGCTTGCTCAAAAACATCTCGAGATTTTAAAGGCAAGATAAAAAAATTTGTGCTTTTTCATGCACAATGTTTTAAGAGCATGTAAGATAATAAAAATTGAAAACTTGCACTAACGATAACGTTTCAAACTCATTTTGAAGAGTACACTTATCTTTCTTTGTCTCCGTTGGTAAATATTTTGATTTTAATCATTCAATATTTCTATAATCACTAGTGAAAATGTTGTATGTAATGAAATTTTATTTGCAAAAGTAAGGTTCTGGGCAGCTGAATACTTTAAAAAGATATTTTAATAAGCATGATTTATTTTTTTTATTTAATAAAGGTTCGTTTCTCTTTATGAACTATTCTTTTAGATTAAATTAATTTTTAATTATGTAGTGATTAATATTTTATCCTTATACTTGTATAATCATATTTTCATTGCAGTTTTTGAAACAACTTCTGCATTGTTTTGAAACAAATATCTGAATAGAAGACCAGTTGAGTTTTATATACATAAGTTAGGTCTGCAAGAAGTTGGTAACTATATCATTGATTAAAGATATACACCAGCTAAAATAAAAGTGTCAACATTTCACTGACCATCATTTGTCAAATTCAAGAGCTTGCCAGTATTGAATATAAGTGTCAGAATATATACAAAACATCAGAAGATGACATATTGAAAACTACAAGCACTTCATATATTTAGAGAAGGGTGTAAACCTGAATCAGTTCCATAAATCTTATAATTCCAGGTAATGTGCCAGTTTTTATTAAAGAAATCTCATATGTTAAAATTGGAAGCAGTATCAGGAACTTAAACATTGTCCATTGTAATCCATCAAATAAATTAATTCAGCAGTACTGGAATCATTTTCAGTTTGATAAACAATAGTTGATTCATCTGCTGATGACCTTTTACCTTTGACATAGACATTGTTAAATCATGAAGACCTACTTGGTTTAAATGCAAAATTTCAGCTGTGCTATGTATTCTAGTTAATTTTTTCACTAGTATCCTGAATGAAGGGTTTGATTATGTACTTTTTATAGGGATGTGTTTAATAGGATCCTCAGTATTTTTTTATTATAAAAGTATGTTTTGCAAAAACATTACTGTAACTATTCAGATTTAAAACTTAAGAAACAAGTTCTGATTTATGTTTTTCTGTTATGGTTAATACTTAAGGTCAATTAACAAAGTTTTTAAGAATGGAAGTTTTACGAGTAGTTGGTTATATGTCAATATTTAAGTCTAAAGAATTAATGTTTCCAATTTTCACCAAATTCCATAGTAGATTTTACAAATCTATTAAATAACGTAAGTAACGGCACACATTCCTATACAATTTTCAGATAACTGCCTTATAGTGACACTACCATAAATGCTTCTTCAAGACATTCAGTGTCTCGCAAACTTGCTGTGTTCCATAGTTTGTTACACAGGCTTATCACTGTACCCTTGTTGTTTAAAGATTATGTAACTGAATTAAAAACAATAAAACAAACTGCTGTCAACAATGGCTATACAGCTAAGTTAACTGACACATTGTTTAAAAGATTAAATGCCATGAACTTAAAATTCACCAAATTACAAAAAAACAGAAAGAAATGTTGTAAGATATTGTTAGAAATATCAAAAGGATAAAAATGAATCCAGACAGTTGTAAATGACTAAATCAACTTAAACTCCTCCCGACTTTCCGCTCCACTTGCCTTAGGGTGAATGTCAAGGCTACTTCCAGTTCTTTGGTTAAAAACACACACACATAAACACAAACACCCGTTTACAAGCTATTTCATTCTGTACATGATGATGCCTTTACTGGTGAAACCATGATCGTAATAAATGAAATATCTGTGAAATGTACAATTGTCTCTGTTTTTATTCCTCATTTCTGTAATTATAAGATTTCACAAAACAACTGTTTCAGGTATTAATTATATACTTCATGTTTACACGTGGAAACTTCACTATTTGTGTCAAAGGTGGACATTGTTTTCTCAGATTTTTATGGACCTTAATACCTCTTTCCAGTGAGAATAGGTATTACAACCTTAACAAAATTTACAAAACTGTATTGCACTCATATCTTCTGATTTTAGTTATATTAAGGAGTTGTAATGCCATTCCACAGTTCATCACCCACCCAGTTTGACTTAACTGATGTGCCAGGGTTCTCGATTCCACTATCCTGTGCTGTTTCAAGTTCACTCTAGGCACTATTACAGAAGTTTCTATTTCGCTTCTTTCACTCCATTATTAACAAATTATACTTTTTTTTCTGTATCATACGATTTTAAGTCGCTTGTATCAATATCCATATTGTGAGCAATTTCCATAGCATCATTACCTTCATATAAGCCTTTGTTCAACCTGGTCTTCAGTTGTAAAATATTTTTTGTTCTTTCGAGTTCATTGGATTTAATAAATTGCCTGTTTTTGACCTTTGACTTTTCAGCTTTTTGGATTAAAGAAATTACCTGTTTTTGGCTCTTGATTTCATTTATAGCTCATCCCCAACTTTTTCTGTCATTTATTAGTTAGGCCTTATTGCTCACAAGTGACAAAATATGCAGTCAGCATGTGTGCCTGTTAAAAGTAAGTTATTGCATTTAATGGTGTGACTGTGAACTGCTGCCTTTAAAGAAGAAATGTAGGAGCTAATGGAAGTGCTGTGAAGCTGACTTTAAAGAAGAAATGTAGGAATCAATGGGAATTCTGTGAAGCTGACTTTAAAGAAGAAATGTAGGAACCAATGAAAGTACTGTGAAGCTGACTTTAAAGAAGAAATTTAGGAACCAATGGGAATACTGTGAAGCTGACTTTAAAGAAGAAATGCATGAACCAATGAAAGTACTGTGAAGCTGACTTTACAGAAGAAATGCATGAACCAATGAAAGTACTGTGAAGCTGACTTTAAAGAAGAAATGTAGGAACCAATGGGAATACTGTGAAGCTGACTTTAAAGAAGAAGTGTAGGAACCAAAGGGAGTACTGTGAAGCTGATTTAAAGAAGAAGCATAGGAACCAATGGGAGTACTGTGAAGCTGACTTTAAAGAAGAAGTGTAGAAAGCAATGGGAGTACTGTGAAGCTGACTTTAAAGAAGAAATGTAGGAACCAATGGGAATACTATGAAGCTGACTTTAAAGAAGAAGTGGTAGGAACCAATGGGAATACTGTGAAGCTGACTTTAAAGAAGAAGTATAGGAGCCAATGGGAATACTGAGAAGCTATTGTATTTCTAAAGGAAGAAATGGTCACATGAGAAAAAATTTGAGATAACTGTATAGATCTAGTATTGTAAGTAAAATATGGAAACCTAAATTGTTATCTGATTTTGAGGTCTGAGAACTTAAATCGGCATCTGATATTGAGGTCTATGAATTTAAATCAATGTCTGATTTTCAGGTTTCTGAACTTAAATTAGCAAGTGATTTTAATTCTGATTCATTATTTCCAGAGCTAGAGAGAAATGGAGACAGAAATGAATAAGCTAATGATGTTATACCAAACCAAACTTTTATATTTGCTGGTGTTTATATTTTTAATCAATGATATAGATTTATCGTCCACTGGTTTCGACTTTAGATTTATTAAAAGTATTGCTATGTTTCAAAAACACCTGAAGGTGTGTATTCACAAAACATAAATAATTTTAAATATTATAAACTAAATTTAGTGAAAATGGGGCTACAGTTCTTCAGAATGATTTTCCTTTTTATGTTTTGGAATATAGAAAGTTTTTCATAAGAAGAATTTTTGCTAACAGTCACTTTCTATAAAAAAAAAATGTAGCTTGAGAATGAGGAACAGATGAGAATTTTGATGAGAACCCATCAACAGAAAGTGCATGTGTTCAGTGAGCAGGCAGTGCGTCAACGATATCAAGAAGATCTTGCCGAGTGGAAGGTGTGTGTTTACTGCTAAATATTTTCTCTGGCATTATCCATCTTATACTGTTAAATACCAGATATTTTAATGGTGTTTTCATGTCTGCTCAAATAAAGTTATTTTTCTTTTTTTACCACTAATAAACTTTTATAAAATGCTCGGGCTTATTACTTAAGTATCTGTCTTGTAAAAGTTATAATTGCTTACTTTCTTAATATTGTGTTTCTTAACTCTTAAATGTCTCTTTTTTTTTTTATTGTTCACTGTTGGTGGGGGTCCACATATTGAATAATTTTGATTTTGTTACAACACTAATTGTAAAGAACAAACAATATACATTTTCTAAAACCATTTCCAGAATATTTTTAATAGTAGTATTGCTCATATTTTTGTTTACATTTCTTGTGTGATTTATGTTATCAGGGGCCTTGTAACCAACAAAGACATAGATTCACAAGCAGTTTAATATGTAAATAATTTAGAAAATGTTTAAAAAATCCAATGGTGGTTTATTTCTCATTGGTAATTTTAAAGTACTCTAAAGTTCACCATCTATCTGTATATGAAAGTACATGTTATAATATCTAATAGATAAAAATTAGTCTATTCTAAATAAACAACTTATTGCTCAGAACTTTTCTTTCTTCATGAACAGTCTGGCAATAACAATTTCTTTTTTAAACCAGTGATTAGTAAAACTCTACAGTTGGAGCTATTACAGCTTAGAGCTCAGAAAAGGAACATCTACTTCTTATAAAAGTTTGTCCCCCAGTGGGTTAGCTACAATTTTATGGACTTGCAATTCCAGAATGTGGGCTACAATTCCATGCAATTGACGGAGCTGGGATAGCCCATTATGTAGCTTTGTGCTAGAAATTCAACAACACCATAAAAGTTTACAAATTCTCTCTTCAACTGTGAATGAAAAAAAGATTTAAAAATTTTTTAATTTGTATAATGAAAAACATAATGTGAACACAACATTACTAGTTTAATATATATAATAATTTATTTCTAATTTGACACTTCAAATATTTTTAATTCTTACAACCTTGACTGTCCTATAGAGTTTCTCTGAAAAAAGTCTGAATGATATTGAAAAGTCGTACAAACGATTGGTAGAAGAGTTAAGAAATAGTCACAAACAAGAAGTAGAAAGGTTGAAAACTGAGAAAGAACAAGCCTTGGAAGAGGAAATTCAAGCAACTAAAACAGGTAAATTCTGAAAGCTTTTTCATAAGGCCACATACTTTGAAAATGTTGACTATATATTAGTAACCTTGAAACTATAGGAAAATATAATTTAAGGAAATAAAAGAGTTAAGACACCATGATGAAAGAGAAAACTATTAAAAATATATATATATATATATGTATATAAAAAATGCCACTAAGGTAGTTCAATCAAATATTTATCATTATCTTAATTTAATACTTCAGCACAAAATATTGTTTTGATGTTAAAAAATCGTTTTTCTCTAATTCAAATCGATAATATCAAAATAACTAAACTACTCCATTGCTATTTTTAGAATGTGGTTTACTTGTGTACTTTATCTAAAACAATATTGATATTAAAATTTCTATTTCAGTATTTCATTTAACAAAGAAATACACCAGTAGTGCACTGAATGCATAATTGGGTCACATGTTTAATAGGAATTTTGTCTGTATATTTACGTAAACTGAAAACCCTTTCATGTCCTAAATGTGGACAGACCAAAATTCATTAATTAAATGCTACATTTTTTTGTTATTGTTATCAGTTGTCTATCAATTTGTATGTTGTTGTAAAATATTTCAAACTTTTAATTATGTTTGTTTTTGTTTGTTGTTTCTTTCATCTTTCTGGAAATATTAATTTTCAGCTTTAGCTGTTATAAAAGAAACCTATCAAAAAGAATTACAGGAAGAAATCAGTAGATGTAAAAGGGAAAATATGAAACAACATCCTGATGACTTTGAAACACTGTACAAAGAGCACAGGTATGAAAGTCTTATTAATTGGTCAAACGTTGTCCTTGTGTATTTTTACAATACTTACAATATTAAGTAATAAATAAAGGCACTTATGCTCACTGATTTAAATCATTAACTGACTCCTTTTATTAGTTTTGTCCTTCAATAAATCACTCATGACTCCCTTTGTTGGAGCTTTAAGAAACTTCAAGTTATTTCTAACTTATAAACTAAAACTAAACAGTTGCCAGTGCGATTCATCCTTTATGTTCATTTGTGGATATTTGAACTACATAGTTTTCTCATTTGGTCATGTAGATTACATGTAGTGGGGAAACACTTGAAAGGCAATTAAAACTCTTGGCCCAGTGATCTGTCTGATAATATTCTGTGCCAATTGATTTAGGCCCACATGTAGGATATTGAAAATTAACACCTATGTGATCATGGTATTAAAGTATACCTTGCATTTTCTTCCTTCATATTTTAATATAATGTTTTTTTGGAATTAGTCCAGGTGTGTGTAGTTTTCACTTAATACATGATCAAGAAAGTAGTTAAGTTGCTTTCATTCTAGCTGCCTTTGTTCTTTGTCATTCTCTTAAGGTGACACTTAGTCTGATCATAGGATGTATGGCTGTAATGTTATGTTTTGTGTAAAGATATTGATAACAGTGTCTTCTAATGGTAGATTGGGTAAAGCTCCAAGGTTATGATCCTCCCTTAAGTTTGAATGAGGATGAGTAGTCACATGAATTATGCTAATTGTTCTGTATAAGTCTGTTGTTATCTTTTAATTTGGTAGTTTACACAGTCTTATACACAATCTCATCTGAGTCAGTCTGATAGAAATCTTCATTAAGTGCAGTTTGGAGAAAAAACAACTAAAATTATAAAAGTAGTTAAACAGCATCTAAAGCAAGTGAACATATACTGTGTTTAATAGTTTTGTTTTGAGTTTACTTACCGATTAAGTATTATTTTATTATAAGTTCACAAAATCAGTCATTTACAAAGAAATTCAGACCTATTCTGTAATAATATCTTGTTTTAACCTCTGGCTATTTTGTGGACCTATCTTGTTGCTCTTAGTAAAATTAGCTTTACCTGAGGATATCTCTCATTAGATAATAAAGATAAAATTTTGGTTTAATGACCACAGGATATGCTATTGCAGAGTTTTCTGTTTTTCTTCTGGTGTAGCTCTTGGATACTAACTAACAGATCTCAAGTCAGGTCTAACTATTGACTTGGAAGAGTACAATTAATGGCTTGGACCAAAAGGTTTGGTGGTCAGTTCAGCTCCCTCAGGATTGAGTGGGTCTTGGCACATGATTCTCAGAGTACAAGAATAAAAGAAAGAGTTTTTGGTTGATAAAGGAGTGGCCATGGACAGAAGATCTTGTGGTATGTTAGGTACTCTGAGTTGAAACCACTACTCGGACCAGTCGAAACAAACTTCATTCTTGCAAATGGAGATAAAACTAGACAAGAATAGAAAGGTAATTCTCTGACTAATTCTAAGAAGCATCACACACACATAATGAAAGTAGTCACTGTTGGTCTTGGCTCCAACACTGGCTAGCATTGGCATCCTTGATATTGACATATACTGTAGAGTTTATTGGTCAATTGCCTGATGTTCCATGGGAGTGTTATCCAGTACTTGCCACACCAGGCTTAGGAATAGTGGACTGCAGGAGAGTATGTGAGAGAGGAAGTTATCACCACGTACATAAGTGGAAACCTGTGGTTTACTGTGGATGAAGTATAGATCATCGGTGCCATTATAGAGCCAATGAATGAAATAAGCTGCTTTCTGTGTAGAAAGCAAGCAGCTTTAGCTCGGACACTCACCTGTTTGAGGAGGGATGAACCCCTAGTGTTGTTTTGCAATTATGGGTGATCGATTATCCAACTTTCACTAGAATGATCATCAAGTGACACAACTACTAAACAACTACCACATAGGCTTTCCTGGAGCACTAGAGATGAAATGCAGTTGATGTTAAAGGATGAGATTGTACCTTTGGAAAGTACTTGGTTATCTCCATTAGTGATTGTCAGAAAGAAGAAGTATGCCCAGGTTCTTTCTTGATTTTAAATGGGTGAACATGGTAACTTGCATTGATATTTTTCCATTGCTATGAAAATATTAATATCTGGATGCATTGAAAGAGGGCCAGATGGTTCAATACTTTAGACCTAGCTTATGGATACTGGTAAGTTGGGCTGAATGATGGGATAAGACGTAAGACTGCTCTTAGCACAAGAGATGTCTCGTATTCGTTTATATTATGCCACCCAGTTTGTGTACCACATCCTCCACTTTTGAGATGCTAAAATAGGAGGCTGAAATTGTACAAGTGCGTGATGTACATTGATGACATCTTGGTGTTTGATCACACATTCGAGTCTGTGGCTGAGAACCTGAAACTAGTATTACAGCAGATTAAAAAAATGCAAGCTTGGAACTGAAATCATGAAAATGTGCATTCTTGTGCATGCCAAGCAAAAAATCTGCAGTTTCCTCAATTTTGTGTTGTACTGTTAACAATTAACTTCTCCAAGACTGCCACACTATTATCAGCTAAGATTGAGATACATTTAAGATGGAGTGAGATGTGGGGGGATAGATTCATTAGCAGCTGTTTCCCTATCTAATGCACAATTTTCTTAACTTTGAGCCTTTCTATCTACTCTCCTAAGGTACCTCACTTTCCTTCACCTTATGATGGAAGTGCTTCACCATTCCACTGATGGCATTCCTGTGGACTCAAGAGCACTCTTCTCTATAATGCCCCATTCACCATTCCACTGATGGCACTCCTGGGGACTCAAAAGCACTCTTTTCTATAATGCCCCATTTCACCTCCTCTGCCTTTTCTCTTCTCACTTGGTTCCTTTGTTGTTGGGACCTTATGGGAAGGGATACCCTACATTCCCAAGTCCACCTCCCTTCCTTCAGGACCTTTGTTTTGTCCCTTTTCATTGTATGGATGTTTTCGTGGCATCCCTGAATCTTTTGAATCATGAACTGAAGCTATCTGCTATCAATTTCTTTTACTTCCTTAGTTTCCCATTTGTCCAAATTTTCCCCCTCCAATGATATATGGATTATAAAAGTTCTTTTCCACAGTCTTTATCTTCACTTTTCTTTCCTTCTTTCCTAACCTGTTGCCTTTCCACCCACCCGATTCTGCTTACCTTCAACATCTGGATGGTATGGTGTTGGATTTGTTGGATAAACAGGCCATCAACAGGATTCATGATCTCTCTCTGTGTTATTACTCCAACCTCTTTGTTGTCCCCAAAGACCAGGGACTGGTGCCTGATTATTAACATTTTCTCCATCAATTATATTTATTGGTCATCCTGCACTTTCAGATGGAGAAATTTTTCTTTGTTCATTGGTCTTTCCAGCCCATCCTGTGAATGCCCAAATTTGATGTGCTCCTCACCCATTCTAGGCAGAATCCTCTGAACACACTTCTCTTCTTCACATAGCTACTTGTTTACAGTAATTTATCAAAATTTCCAAGACCTTTTTTACATCAACTCAATATTTCATTCACCTGTTGCCCAGTTCAATTATGAGACCTTGAGCATCTGGTCACCAAGGTTCATGCCTTGTCTTCACATTCTTTGTGCAAGGTTCTATTTGTTTTGAGGACCATGGTTTCTCTGGATCCCTTCATTTCACATGGCCACACACACATATGCATCTCCTACAGTGGGCATTGTATGACCAATGGAACCTTTCCAAGAATCCACTATCCTCATCAATCCTCCTTCCCTATGGAAACATCTTGCTTGATAGCTACACCTCTTCAACACCACCTGTGGTGTTCTTTTACCTCCTCCAAAAATGGATCTTCACATCTTCATGGATATTTCTCTCTCTCTCTCACTGGTAGGGAAGCATTCTGGACTACTATATGACTTCAGGTTCTTGGACCCTGGAAGAGCGTTCAATACCTATCAGAGCCTTCAAACTGCTCAATTATTGTTAGCATGCTCTTCTTTCCTTCCCCGTTTTGTGGTGGATCATTTGGTGATGATCCACTTAGACAATTCTATGGTCATGTCTCGTATCAACTCCAAAGGTGCACTAGGCCCAGTACCCTCTGCTTTCAGACTTTGGAACTCCTTTCTTGGGCTCCTTCTAATTGAGTGAGTTTAATAGCCTGTCATGTTCTGGGTGCTCTGAACAATGTCATGGACTGTTCTTTCTCAACGAGACTGCATCCTTCCCATGGAATGGTCCCTTCATCCTCAAATCTTCCATTTGATTTGCTCCTAACTGGGAACTTCCCAAATAGATGCCTTTGCCACACTTCTGAATACCAAACTTCCACTCTTTTAATCTTTGGTACCTTACCCTTCAGCTCTGGCTGTTGTTGCCCTCAGTCAGGACTGGTCCTGTATCTTTCTTTATGCCTATCCTCCTCTCTGCTTTCTCCCTTGGGTCCTTGCACTGATTCAGGATACTCCTTACAGAGTCCAGTTGTTGTAGCCCCTTACTGGCCTGCTTAACCATGGTTTCCATTACTCCATCTTCTCTTAGCCAATCTCCTCCTCTTCCCAACATTCCATCCCTTCTGATCCAACTGCATATGTCTCTCTTTCATCAGGGAGTAATATCCATTCATCTTCATATGTAGTATTTGTCCAGACTCTCACTTGTCAAACCATACTATCTCATCATGTAGCTTCCTTTATTTCTGCTCTTTTCAATCTTCCACCTCCTCTTTTGTGTAACAATGTACCTCAAAATGTCTTACCTCTGTCTTAATGTGATTATTCAACCATGGCTTTTCTGTCTCTACTATTGCAGGTTATTATCTACCACATTATGCTTTTCCCAGTATAACAGAAGTTTTTCTACACCTGTCTTTACCACTCTCTTCTGTTCATTACTTATCCACAGACTTCCTCATCTTACTCCCTTGCCAACTGGAACATGAATGTGGTTCATTATGCCCTCACCAGGAACCCTTCAAATTTCTTGCTGCTTGCTTCTTATATCATCTCTCAAAAAATATTTCCTCTTCTGTGGTCACCGTTGCTCTGACGTCTATGTTATAGATTCTTCCCATACTCTACCATCACACTTACTTCTTTTCTACCCATACTGGTCCTTCTTTTCCATGACTTCTGCTACTAGGTAAGGTAGTCACACCTTTTTTTTCCCATATCTCTTCCTTCTTCATCCCATCTCTATGAGTGTTCTGACCCAGATAGACTCCAGTGTCCTGTCCAGACCATTTGTTGATACCTATCTTGCACTTCCTCCCTTCACGGTTTCTGTCAACATCTTTTAATTCTTTGAGATCCCTCCTCTACGAGAAACCTCTCTCCCACCACCCTTACCAGATATATCTACCAACTCATCCATCTGATTAACTTTGCTTTGGGGGTGGATGATCATCAGCTCTTTCATGTCTTCTATCACCAGATTCGACACCTTGCACATTCTCTTGTAGCCCTTGCACCATCCTCTAGAGAAGATTCTCCAGGCTGGCATGTGGACTATTCCATATGCTTTCATTGCCCACTACCTACACCACCTGGCTGTCATGCCTCCAAAGGGATATAGACAGTATCCCATAGCCTTCAATACACCTTTCAATTTTATAAAAGTGAATGCACTCATATATTTCTTACTTACCACTTATTTACTATAGGATCCCACTAGGTGGCTAGTGTGCCTCCCTGGGTATACATACCCAAAATCTGCATCAAGCCAGGGTAATGGAAAGCACTTATACCATCTGTCCTGGCTCTACAAGTGACTATTGTGAGATGGGATGTTCTGCATGATCACTTGGGGTTTCCTTGTGGTATTTCTATACATATTTTACATCTCTAATGTTAGATTTAGACTGTATTCATTCATTGGACTGTCTTAGAAAAAGCCAGCATCAGAACTGTGCTTCTACCCATTACACTGTCTCCAATAAAAGACATTTCTGGACTAAAGGACTGATGGGGATCCAGGCACATTCTCTGGGTCACCCCTACATGAATTCTTCTTCGCACATTAAGTGAAGCATGGGATACCCTTGCCTGTTACCAGTTTCTAGCAGCTGGGATGGTGGACAATGAAGAATCCTCATCAATTGGGACCTAACTACTGGGGTCAAAGTCTGTCCAGTAGAGTCAAGGTCATCACTATCTTTCCAGTCCATTCCAGTTGCTTGTTCTCAGGAAATAGTAACAAAGACTGATAGATTCAGAGATAGCATTTGTATGACCGTGATTCAACCTTTATGCCATGACATCATGACAGGATGGACCCCAATACACTTAAACGTCCTATGTCAGTATATTTTTGATATTTCATACCTACTTCACAACAACAGGGAAAATCAGGTCATTTGACTTGGCCAGTGTATACTGTACTGTGTTTTGTATGACATATTGAAATCTGGTTTTGATCTGTAATTCACTGTCATGTCTGTGTTTAAAGGGTTTTCTATTTCTTTTTTGTAACATATTGTATTTGATCTACTTTTGGTGAAAGATATTTAATAACTGTAACATCTGTGTTACTTATATTAAAGCTTTTATCATGATATAACTATTCCTTTGTTGGAGATATTCATTGTTAAAAGAATACCTTTGTTTTATTGTGTGAAATCCTGAATTGTACATACATAATCTTTGTTAAAGGTTCTGTATTGTAATATTGTATTATATGTTGGCATGTGATTTTTTTTTCTGTTTTTTTTTATTTTGGTAATTTTACTTAGATTGTTTGTTATTGTAAGGAGGTTTTTCAGTGTGTACTGCATCAATGTTAAAGAATTTTTGATTTATTAGCTCTATTAAAGGGCTCTGCTAGTCAGTAATGCATGTGACAAGAGAGTGTTGCAATACTCCTTAAGAAATGCATGTATATAGATTTTATTGGTTATAAAGTTAAAATAATTGTCACCTTGGGGATAAACTTGAAGTTAAGTGATGAGGAAAAGTGTGGTATGTAAACATAATGCATTTTCTACTGTCTTGTATTATAGTATTTTTTAGAATTAGTCAGTTATTCAAGGTATGTGTAGTTTTCATCCAACTTCTTGTTTAGAAGGCAGTTAAGTTGTGTTCATTATAGTTGCCTTTGTCATTCTCTTGACTTAACACATTGTCTGCCCGCATGGGGATATCATTGTAGTGATACATATTGTGCAATGATATCAATAGCAGTTTTCTCTAGTGGTAGGTCATGTTATGCCTCAAGGTTATGACCTACCTTAATTTTGGATAAGAATGACAAGTTATATGGGAAATACTAATCATTCTGAGTAAATCTGACGTTACCTTTGAATTAGGTAAAATAATGTTTAAACAATCATGATCTCAACTGGAATTTGGAAAAAGAACAGCTCAGATTTAGGAAGAGCAACTGTCTAGCATCCAGAGCAAGTAAACAAACTCTGTTTGTGTTTAAAATAAAGATTGTTTGTTGTGTTTTATTTCCTCTTCATGAACTTGGTCAATTTCAGGAAAATTCAGAACTACTCTCTAATAACTGTCTTGTCAGATCTTCCATAAACTCTGCAGATCTGTCTTTTCACTGTATGTAAAAGCAGTCTTATCCAAGGATACCACTGATAGACAGTTGTTAGTTGTGATAGACCCATCCTTGAATAGGACTGCATGCCACAGAAACTTTAAGGCTCCCTTCCACCATAATATGTTTTCACTATCCATGACCTACAAAGCATTTGCAGTAGTTTTAATGCCCTTCCCTTGAATTTTTTTTATTCTATAATTTTTACACACAACATATAAGAGGTGTTAGGCCAATAAATCCTGGTCTGTTTGAAAATATTTTATGTGGTTAGAAAAGCAAACTCATGTAGATGTAACTTTATTTAATAAAACTACATGTAAAGTAAAGTAATGGAATTTATAATAGTGTACAGAGTATGAAACATTTATGAGCATTTAAGTGTATGACACAGTTTTACAAGTTGAAACAAAAAAAAAAGAAGAATAAAACCTGTAGTAAATAAAAAAGTAGCTAAAAGGTGTTTATAGTAGTATATAAAAAGAATTTAAATTAAATTATTGCAAAGTAAAGTAAATGTAAAAGTTGTAAATGAAGGCAAACTTAGCTGAATATGCTGAAACATCTGAATGCGTGTTCAAAAAGTGATAAGCATATGGTTTTGAACAAACTGCACATGCATATTTTAGACCTAAATAAGTTATGAAAGCCCATAGAAATTGTATTTAGTGTAATGTTCATTTTGTTAGGAAATTACACATGGGTTAAGTGTTGTTTGTGTGAAATACTTTGCAAATAAAAAAAACAACTAAAGTTGAAATTGTAGCCAGTTATCATGTGATGACAACAACATTGTGCAATCGTGTACCATACTCATTGCAGGTAAGGTGATTCTGAATTAAAAAGCCAATATGCCATTCGGACTCCTCAGACAAAGGCCATTCTAACAACATGTGATTTGTAGCATTTGATAGAGAAATTTGCTACAAAAGTTTTGGACATACAAATGCAAACGTATGATTTATATAGATATTATTTATGTTGGATTGTATTGCATTATTTACTTGTGTAATATTAGATGTGGTGCTTTATCTAGGGAAGGGAAAATATTCTGCCCCACAGTATGCTACTCTGCTATTTCACAGAGTCCAGATGTTTAATTTTTATTTTATTTTGTACACTTTATTTAACATACTGCTTTTACTAAACTGACAGATATTTGGATCAAAAAATATATTTCAGTTTTTCAAGTCTTATAAATTAAATATCAAGTTATTTTTGTGAAACACCATTAGCTATAGCAGTACAGATAGAAACAAAGATCTTAAATAAATGTAGTATCTTTCATTGTATAAATAATATACTCTGATGGATGAACTTTGCTCTGAGTGATAAAAAGCTGTTTTTGTGTAATATTCATGATAAAAATCACATCAGACTTTAGATGTTTTTTTTCCCATATTTCTCTTAATTAGTCAATCATGAGCAATGATCTGTGGTGTGCAAAAGACAGTTGTAAAATGGTATTTGTACACACACCTGATTTGAAATTTGTAAGGCACTGGTTAAAAGGAAAGTGAAAGAACTTCTACATTCTAGGATGATTTTTATTTAAAACGTGTTTGTTAGGTGTATTGGTTCTGGTGATTTAAAAATGTTTAACACCAAGCTTATCTCGTTTCTATGGTCAGTCTGGTGGGTTTTACAGTTAAAGTTAATTTTATTACAATGGGTTAATACCAGCTGTTTCAGAATGCCAAATGATATGTGATGTTTTTTACTTATATTTTTATTATAATCCATGTACTAATAAACATTTTTAGGGACATGCTTGATGAAATCAGGAAGGATATGGTCTCATTAACTGAGAAATTTTCCATAAAATGTTTGGAAAATGCAACTTTGAAAGAACACTTGGAAATAGTTAATCGTCAGAAAGAAGAGAGTTCTAAGGTTAGTTACGTTAATTCTTTTTGAAGTTCTGTGATCCTATTATAAGATAATAAAAGTATGTAAGTCACAAACCATGTAACATAATGTTTTGGGACAACATGGGACCTATTGGTCCATCTCGGCTGTTCCATCCTCTAAACTAAATCAAAATAATTAAAAAAAAACAACTTAAAGCCAGCCCTTATTATTCATATACTTATCAAGCGATATCTTAAACTCACTTAAATTTACTGCCTCTACAACATCTGAAGGCAACCATTCCAAAGAACATCCACCCTGTCTTAGCTGAAAATGTATATTTATGTCCCCTGGTCTTACTATTCACACTGTTAAATATAAAAAAAGATGATGCATAAACACTAT